CAAAATCAAGACACAAGAATCAAGGTAGGTTCGCATGTCTGCATTTGAAATTTACCTACAGATCTTAGAGTCTATGTGGCATATGCACATACTTCTCCCTACTTAGCGAAAATAAGAAAATGTGATGTTTGTGGGAATTTAGGGTAGAGGAGTCAGGTGAGAACCAAGAAAGAGATGGAGAACAGCCTCACAGAAGGAGGCCTGATAGCAGTGAAAGGTTTGCTTTCAGGTAATGCATGTTTCAGTCTTAAGAGTTTCTACTTGAGAGTATTGTTCCCAAGCAAGATCCCAACACATATGTGCTCATCAGTGAACATCACAGATAACAACAATTATTCTAGGGAAAAAAACCTTTCCTTCCCTGTTCCTCCTTTTTATAGGAGGTCCAATTTAAATACAAATTTACCTTTCTAATCTTATACTCACAAATTCCTTCAGAACTGATCCTATAAATACCAAGGCTGGGTGGTAACAGAACAGCAAGAATGTGTACCAGTGCCTGATGGATAATCAAAACTCAGTCATCTCAGCTTTTATACCAATCTTTGGATGAATACATATTGACTGAATTCAATTGAAATACAATCCTGCATGGAGTAGAATTCTAAATATGGTACAGACGTTGGCAGCTTCTTACATGAGAAAGGAAGAGAGAAACAGACAATTGGATGTCAAATTGAAGGCAACACTGGAATATCCTGACAGCTTGATGCCAGCGCCAGGTGGCCCGCTGCGGGCTGCAGATGTGGCTGTATCACCATCGGGGGCACGAATTACTGCCGATGTCTCATCATCCCCACCACCTGCCGAGCCAACCTTGGCAGCGTGACGGGAGCCTGAGCGAGGCTGTGGGGCACAGTGGCAGAACCTGCTGGCATGTTCTGGGACTCCATCCCATCTCTCTTGGGGCTACTGCTTGAAAACGGGAAGTCTAGGAGGCTTCTGGCACAGACAGACCACCTCGACTGTATGTTTGACAATGATTAGGATGCTAATAAAAGTGCGGATGGGGAAGGTAGGCAAGTTAGCAGCACTAACGACTGATAACAGATCCCTTTGTTGCCCCTCAGGACACTTCTTTGCCCAATCGCCCTGCGATACCCATAATTACATAATTACTATTTCTGATGAGATATGTTGTCAATGTTTAAGCATAAATGAGACTTCGGGGCGGGGGGGGGAACTGCACAGATTACTTGCAGTCTCCTTGTAGACAGACATATCCCTATGGTAAGGCTACACTAAGTTTCTATGACTTGCAGGACATCAGATTAGTGACTCAGAAAGCCTCGGGTGGTTGGGAAGGAAAGACAGCTTGGCCACGTAAACTGTGTTGATGCTTTCATTCCTCCATGTAAATCTCATCATCACGGCCAAGATGGAGCTACACGTCTTTTACTGGCTATTTGAGACTCATCTGGACATTTCTGTTGAGTGACAAGAGGAAAAGAGGGGAGACACCATGTCTCTTTCCAGATACAAGTCTCCCATAGGCTATTACCTCTGGGATAAGGCAGTCCTAGGTGAGGGCTCGACGGGCCTGGCGGCCCTACTGCCTCTCATCTGGCAAATCCAAACCATTAGAAAAGGGCCTGGTCTTCTGGGTCCTCCTCCTGGAAGAAGGAATTGCTCAAGGTGAATTTGAAAATGTGACCACATAAAACCAGAATGGCCCAGCCACAGGGCTGCTGACTAGAGATGGGCTCCAGCCTAGAGATGGGCTCCAGCTTTCTTAGGCTAAAAACAGGAAACAAACCAAATGTCCATCAACAGATGACTGGATAAAGAAGTTGTGGTATATGTATACAATGGAATACTACTCAGCCATAAATAATAGTAAAATAATGCCATTTGCAGCCACATGGATGGACCTGGAGATCGTCATTCTAAGTGAAGTAAGCCAGAAAGAGAAAGAAAAATTCCTTATGATAGCACTTATATGTGGAATCTTAAAAAAAAAAGACAAATGAACATATTTACAAAGCAGAAGCAGACTCACAGCCATAGAAAACAAACTTATGGTTACGGGGGGGAGGGGGTGGGAAGGGATAAATTGAGAGTTTGAGATTTGCAGATACTAATATATATAAAGTAGATAAACAACAAGTTCATACTGTATAGCACAGGGAACTATATTCAGTATCTTGTAGTAACTTATGGTGAAAAGGAATATGAAAATGAATATATGTATGTTCATGTATGACTGAAGCATTGTGCTGTACACCAGAAATTGATACATTGTGAACTAACTATACTCCAACAAATATATATATATTTGTCTGTCTGTCTATCTTATCTTATCTACCTACCTATCTATCTGTCTACACACACACACACGGAACCAAACCAACGGAGGGACCTCGTAACTTACCTTTCCAGTGAGCACTTACTCTCTTGGTTGGACTATCACTCCACTCACTTGGGTCATTCATTCCTGTGGCTTCCATGTACTGACTAGGCACAAAGGGCTCAACTCTTAGATTTAGAAATATCTTACCTCTGACAAAGCTGCCTCAGGCTAAGTCTGTAAGAGTAAAGTAACATAAACAGTCAGGCAATTACATGGTTGTTTCACTGTGGACAGTTCTGCACTCAGCTGGCTGAGCCCATAAAGAGGGGCTGTTGCTGGCATCAGGAACCCTGAGCATTTTTTCCTGCTGTGAGGTCCAAAAGCTTGTGAGCAAGGAAACAGAAGAAACCCTTCTCCAACACAGTGCTACCCAGAGGGAGCCAGCATAGTAGGGGAAGACTGAGATTCAAAGCCTCAAGAGGCTCTAACTGAGCAAAAGATCAGCAAACTTATCTCTGTCCAGAACCAGCATACAGCAGAAGCAAACTGAATGGTGGATGGAACATGGTCATGGAGTCAGCTGGACCTCTGTGCCCTCATTGTCTCCTATGTCACCCCAACAACTAAGAAGCCGTGGGTTAGCATGGAAAGACAGCAAGTAACAGAAATCTCAGCTCTACAGCATGGCAACTATGACAACTCATGACAAGTTACTTAATCACTCACGGTCTCAGATTCCATGTCGGTTGAATGAAGAAAATAGTATCAGTATTCTGAGAGCTGTTATGAGGATTACACTTAAAAGGACAACATAAGTAAAATGCAGTGTTGTGTTGAGTGCCCAGAAGACGATCGATACAATGATGTTGAAGGTTGATGGAATTGCTCTCGAGGTGGTATTTAAATAGAACATCCATAGCTATCCAAATAAGGTAATGCCAATACCGTACGATATTGTGCTTCAGGCTGTATTCACATTGCGTTGCCCTTGAATCATGGGATTTTAAGTAACAGATATTACACGGATGGAAAAACATTCAGTTTCACTAGTATAACTCCAATACATTTCAGTCAAGAACTATCACAGTACCTGAAAAAAAAACATAGGAAAACTTAATGCAAAATTATAAAATAGAATTTAATGCACTTATATTAGTTTCAGTATAGGGTGCATGTGTGTAATTAAGTTCAAATGAGCTCTCCGCATTCCTGTTTCATCAGCATAATTTCATCAATACAGTGGAGAATGCCACTTCATCCCTGGGCAGGTGCCTCATGACTCTGTAAGACTTGGGGTGTTTTAAGTGAGGCCTCTGCATCAATTCTTCAGTAAAACTCTCTGCTGTTTCAGTTGCCTAAGTTAAAGAAAACAACAGACCTTGATTTCTTTTCTTCATTAATAAAATCATTAATAATTATTATTTAGTAATAGCTCTTCCCAAATGACTACCTTTACTGAATGTTAATATATTTACTGTACAGGAAAATAAAACCCACAAAAGAGCTAAGAAACAAAACATAGGAAAATAAGCTGTTAAAGTCAGGGCTTGTGAAGGCCGGGGACAATTTTAGAGCAAAGATCAATTCTGAATTGTTGGCCCTGTCAAGATTTTTAACATCTAAAAGTGCCATTAATTCCTTTCTGATGAATCTTGCATTATTAAGATTATATGTTATAGTCAAGGAAAGTGCCATGACATTTGACACAATGTTAAGCAATGTTATTTTTTTGAAGCGCCCAAAATGTCTTCACTAGAAGAGATTGCTACCCTGTAAGGAACTCATTACTAAGGCAAATGCTATATGGCCTCTTGGCAGTCAGTTCCAGACAATGGTAACAAAGCACAGTAATTGCTTTCAAATCAATTGTGATGCAAATATTAGTGTTCTTGTGTGAAAAAAGAAAATCAAAGTGTAGAACAGTATGTATGATATGCTACATTTTGTGTATAAAGGGTGAAAAAATAAAACATGTCTTTTTTGCTTCTGAAACTTTAGAAAGACATGCACATGAACATACATACACCTAAAATGGCAGATATGTGTGGCTGAGGGCAGATCTTGGTGAACAGGTAGTGAAGCTGACAGCGGAAGACATTTAAAATTTTTGCTTGATTTTGGAACTGTGCAAATGGGTTACCTATTTACAAAATGAAATTTTAAAAATATGACTTCTAAAGATCTTTTTGCACAGATTTTAATTTTTTCTTACATTTCTTTAATGAGATTATGTTTTTCTACAAACTAGACAGCATTGACTCAGTTCTAAGAAAGAATGATGCAGGAAACTAAACGACACTTTCCCATGTGTTCTATAAACTACAAAATTATAATTGTAAAATTAATTATATACTTACGTTATATTATAAATATAAGAATATTTTCATTATATTTATAATTTCCCCATTTACTTTTGTATCTTTGAGCCATCTACCAACCCACATTAAAGGCCATTTCTGACCAGTTCTTGGTTCAGTTTGATCACAAAGCTGATGAGATCAAGGAGGAATACTTACCCTGGAATGTAAATTATTAAATTTTAAAAACTGTTCATTTTAATCACTTATGAAGGTTAGGACTTAAAGCACAATGATACAGATATCATGCCCATAATCTCTTATTTATTTTCCTAGCCTGTGTAGCAAGCACCTTTTGGCGACGATGACCGTTAAGAAACACATCAACTACGACTGAAAGGAAACAGCACAAATTTTTCAGTGTTTTTGAAAAAGAATACTGTTATACCTGTGTTTTATTATAAATAACCAGGTTCTGTCATTATCTTCTTGCCAGCAAATGAAGGACATTGTCTCATAAAGCTTCTAAAATGTACATGAATATTTAATTAAATCATATTTCCTTGAGAAAATAAAGTTCATTCGCATTTATAGCAGACAGTTCTGAGGAGTACATAATTGTCAGAAGACCAGGGTAGCCAGTACCGGTTGCTTGTGGAACAAAACTCCTCAATTTTTAAAACTTCTTTTAAAAAATAAACATACAATCATAAGTGTTCATTTACTTTAAAAATCCTAAAGATGAAGAAAATTATTGTCTATATATTTAAGTCCTTGTATAAATTACAAAACTCAAGTTTATGTTACAGAGTCCCTTCCCCATAGGAAGCATAAAGCACTTTTGTGGTACCTTTCACCAGTAAATATTCATATCACATTGAATTTGACAAACAAAAGAAAAGTCGATATTGCATCTTTAAGCCCAAGAAAACATTCTTCTAAGCTGTCTCTCGTGATGAATGAGCTTCAAAAGTCATTTGATTGCCACAATTTAACTCAATCTCAAATAAAGATATATAAAAGTTATACATATATTGACTTCAGTAGAAATCTGAAATATCAGTGAACTGCAGACTCTTCTTGTTTGAGGTCAACAAACACCCTTTGGAAGACAACCAAGAGTTGTTTAAGACCAGGACAACAAAATAAAATTATAACAAGAATAATTATAATAATAAAAATAACAATAATCAAATAAAAATAACAAAACCAACAATGAGGTAAACTCCCCTTGAAAAAGGCAGTATGTGTTGCCCGGACTGTCAGGAGAGAGTTCGATTGTACCTGACACCCAAATGTTTTTCCAACCACAGTTCAGCCAGTTGCATGGCTGAGGCAAAAGTACTTGCCTTGGATCCCAAGCACATCTTATACTGCTTAGGGTCCAAGTTAGGGTCACAATGAACTGGATGGAAAATATGCACCACTCCTACTTCTTGACTTCTGAAGGGCCTTAAGCCAGACAGAATAACTTTATTGTAGAGATCTACATCTTCCAGTCCCCAGCCTTGTATTGAGGTATCAAATCCACCTGCACCCAGAAGATCACTTTTATAAATACAGGTAATTCCATATCCATAGTCTCTCCAAAATCCAGTCTTCTTTGAGAAGACAAAGTCATCATCAGTGGGAGGATTTCCCCCATTGGTTACCTTTGGGTCATACTGGCTAAAGATGATGGGGTAGTACACCTGCTGTCCCTGAACTGTATTGTCTCTACATCGTTGGAGAAAGTCTCCTCTGAAGATCAAGTCAACATCACAAAATAGCAGCAAAGTATCATTGTCAAACTGGGAAGATCCCATCTCAAGACCCAGACCTCTGGAAAACTCCCCCTCCATGGGGATCAGGGTCATTTCCGCTTTAGGGTACTTGTTTTGATATTCTTGAATCAGCTCAATATGCTTGTTGGAATCTTGGCCAGAATCCTTACTGAAAAGAATGATGACCAGCTTTACATTCTGGTTTGGGATAAGACAAGTGTTCTCAAAGTTCTCCATGAATCTCGAGAAAATGTCATACCTTCCAATGAGAGGAACAAGAATGTGTATTTTCTTTTCATTGTGCCCTCCCATTTCTTTGGCACCTTGAAAAGAAGACAGTATCTTTAAAGAATTAGAGATAAAGGAGAATGACTGGGTGTCACTGTTAATACTCTCTACAAGACTGTTGACATCTAGCTCTTCAGTTTCTCTGAAGAAAGGCTTGCTGAACAACTGCTGAAGATAGGCATGACGTCTCACTGGCACAGTCAGTTTCCTCCCCTTGTGCCTTTTGTATAAGAGGAGCAAATCCAAAATGTACTCCACTCCATGCATGGGATCAACCCTGCGATAGCCATACTGGATTTCCTTGAAGTCAATGAGCCGTCCTCTGCTCTTAGCATTCTCATTGATCATCTCCATCACCTGCAGGACGGTATCATCCAGCGCTATTCTCAGGATGCTGTTGATGCTCTGTCGAGGAGGCTGGTTCTCAGAGGCTGAGTAGAGGAGCTTCCCTGTCAGGAACTCCCATTCTATCACTTCATCTCTCTCCCGAGGCTGGAAGTGGTTGAAAGAAGGCATCACTCCCAGCTGCTGGTCCTCTTTGCTCACTTCACTATTACTGAGCTTGCTCATCAGAGCGCTCTCCCGGTGGAGCTGGATGGTGCGGTAGCGAAGTTCAGAAATTTTGCGGCTGAGCATGTAATTATGAAGCCTGTATTGGTAGGCAGGCCTTTTGTTTGGATGAAGTGTTATGGCTGCGTGGATTTTGCTGTTGTGAAGGTCTTGTATATAACCCTTCCGATTGTGTTCATAATTTTCATGGAACAGTTGCTGCATCTGAAGAGTAGAAGGAAATCAAGATGTTAGAATAAATTCAAAAAGAAAACAAGTAATAAATGAAAATATTTAAATGAAAATATTTAATAAAAATTATTTATATGGTCTGACAAAACAAAAATGCCTTGTGAAATTTATATTTAAAAGAAAGTAAAATATTTAAAAATGTCAGATCTGTATGCTGTAACACTGCAAATTCACTTCCTGTCAATTAATATGCAAATATTGCAAACTAACTTCCAGCTATCTATTTTTAAGTAAAACATCTTTTCATGCTTTCTTTCATCTATTCATTCTCAAATCAACCCGAAATATCAAAGAAAACAAGAACTGTCTATCCATAACCCCATAATCATTGTGAGGATAAGGCAGAATGGGTAGAACACAGATTTTTCAAAATTGGGGTTCACCCTGAGGAGTAAGTCCGATGCCTTTTTGCTTGGAATGGCGGTATCAGCCCCAGAGGAGACCTACATTTTATTTAGCATTCTGATAGACCATCTATACAGAGGAAGTTCTTGGTAAGGTAAAAACTACTGATCTTGATCTATACTGCTTACCTAAAAGATGGTATCCAAAACTAGACCTGCTTGACATCCTTATCAGCCAAACAGGCTCTCTGCTAACTTAGACAAAGCTCACCACCTCAGGCAGAAACAAAAATGAGATCACACTTCAAACTGTCGGCTGACTACTCTGCCAGTTAATGAAGACACCTCCACCACACCCATTCAAGAAAATGACCAATGGAGGAGGAGGTGGAGGAAGAGGAGGGGGAGGAGAGTCAGCAGCAGCAGGTGCAGCATGAGACATATGTGTGCAAATAAACTGATGAACAGGAGGAAAGGAGCGCTGCAAACTTAAGAATACACATCAAAGCAAGGAAAAATTATAGACAAAACAAATAAATTGAGGAAGATACAATCCCTCCCTTTCAAAAAGAACTCAAGGAATAGATAGATGAGCTAAAGAAGAAATGCTACTAGTCCCAAGAATGTGGACAAATCTCACAAACAAGTGAAAAAAGCCACATATAAAAGAACACGTTTTGTATGATTCTATTCATGTGAAATTCAGAATCAGGTAAAGCTAAACTATGCTGTTGGCTGTTACAATAGCCATTAAAATAACAAGAAAGGAGGTGGGGTTTCTGGAGTGCTGGTGATGTTCTATTGGTTGATCTAGGTCATTGTTACACATATGCATTCAATCTGTGAACATTTATTGAACTGTTACTTAAGATATATTTGTTATACTCCAAATAATAAGACTTTATTTATTTTTTTATTGAGTGATAGTCAGTTTACAATGTTGTGTCAATTTCCAGCGTCGAGCACAATTTTTCAGTTATTCATGAACATACATATATTCATTGTCGCATTCTTTTTCACTGTGAGCTACCACAAGATCTTGTATATATTTCCCTGTGCTATACAGTATAATCTTGTTTATCTATTCTACATCTACCTAGTTCTAGTTTTATTTTAAAAATATGTATACAAGTTCATATAGCACTAGGTAGGGTTTTCTGATATATATGTATATAAATGTGTCTGGACATGTAGGGAAAGTGAGAATATGACTATCAGAGCAGTTCTCCTACCAAAGGTGACGTAAAAGGAATGAGGCTAATACCATGGCAACTTCTTTATCGCCACTATTTCACCTGGTTCTTATCCTATACTCAGACAGATTTCTCAAGTCAACATCATCTGACTCTGAAGAATATAACAGCAGATATTTCAAGATGCATTTTGGACTTGAGCCAAGACACAGTAGTTCAGCTGCATCCAGTATTTTTTTTTCTGAAATCACATTCCAATTATTATTTGAAACTTTGATCAATGTTAAATCAAATTAAATCCATAATTTTCAGTGGCCTATTAGATCTCCTCTTTTGTAGTATTATTATTATTTTTGCCTGAAATTACCTCAACATTTTACTTTAAGTTATTTTCCATGGATTTTTTTTTGTATGCAACAAGATAAAAAGAATTCTGATGGCATGTAGAATACTAATTATACAGCCTCTAGTAAGTAGTGGCTTTCTGAAACTTTTCTTAAGGCCTACTTTGCATTACTAAGAGAAGAGAGCGTGCTAAATTAAACAGGAAACATTGCTCAGAGGCAGACTGCAGAGTTACCTAGCTCCTTTAATGATATTAAAGTGATTAATACTGTACAACTTGATAAATGTGACATTCTGTTATAGGTATTTTGTTATCTGAGTATTAAAATGTTTAACTAACTTGCATTATTCACATCATTACAACCCAATCCACCAACATAGTGCTTATTTTTCAAGCACATTCCTTCATAGCAATATTACAGCAGATAAAGACAGTGAGGGGGCAATCCTTAAAAATAGTACATTTATACATACTCTAGGTAGTATGGTATTGATGAGACCATCTTGAATCTATGCCATATCTGCCATTAAGAAGCAGAGAGTATATCCAAATTTTCTACTTTTATGTTTAGGGAAGTCCAAGCTATACAGGACAGATGGAAGAATATAGTTTTCAGAAGATGAGTGTGGCACTGTCTAGTTGGCTTGCTTCATCTTTGTTCATTTTCGGAAATGCTTGAGTTATACATACATTCAGGGCTTCAATGTATCTAATAGGCCACTGAGGTACCTTCTCCTAACAAAAGTTCTTAACATTTTACTACAATGAAGATAAATTATTGTAGGGGTTTCAGGAAACCAAGATTCGAGAGGGTTAAGTAATTTAACCAAGGGTCTACTGACAGTAATGAGATTATGACTAACACTAGAACAAGCAGTTAATTTTATCACTTATTGCACTAAATTCTGAATGTAGCAAAACTGTTTTAAGAAAAAGTATAAAATATGCTTTTAAAATTATATTAGCTTGTTTGAAATAATTCAGGGCTTCCTCTCCTTTCAGAATTTTCAATCGATTTCATGGTACCTCCAGAGCCTTAGACTGAAAGGGAAAATCATTTCACATTAACAGAATCACAGCAGCAATTAACATCAGTGTGTCCTGACTGACCCCAGTGTTTTAAGTGTATCACTCAAAATCCCATCCTCTGAGAAGGAAATTACCTGAGAAGTTATAGATAAATCTATTATGAAAATCAGAGTAGAAGAATAAAAGGCAAGATTTAGTCGTACGTAATTATTAATCTTCTATAACATTAAACTTCCATTTCCTTTTTAGATTCATTAATAATGAAAACATAGCAAAGACAGTTTCTGAAATGATCATAGCTATGTAAATAAAGGACTTCATTTTAGCAATTAAAATCCTGAAAGAAATACTAAGGAGCTGAGTGCAAACAGGCACAGGGTAACTTCCGGAGCCCTGCAAAGCTAGATTGTGCTAATGGCTGCACAACTACATAAATTTACTGCTATTTAACTAGGTACTTAGGAGGGAAGACTTTTACAGAGTGTAAGTTATAACTCAATAAGGCTATTTTTGAAAAGACTTTGGGAACGTTAAAAATAAAATCCAGCAAACTCCAGCTTTAAAAATGAGGAGATCAGAACAATATATAGTCACCACAGTACAGGTAGGATTTCCAAAAGCTGACACGTTTGAGCAGGATCATCAGGAAGAGAATGGAGACAGAAGACCAAGCAGAGCACTGTCAGTGGCAAAAGGGTTCAAAGACAGCAGACCTCAGAAATAACCAGAAAAACAGACAGCCTGGCAATAAAGGGCATAAAACCTACTCTCTGGAGACAGCTGTGGGTGCAGGAACTGAGGTGACACGGGCTGGCAGAACAAGCCCCTGACGGAGGGATTTTGTTTCTGAGAAGTGGAAGGTAAGTAGAAGAGACAGAGCTACAGAAGTAAAGTATTCAACGGTTCAGCCAGGTCTTCATGAAGCAGGTTTAATCTGAGGCAGCAGGGAGACCAACACCCTTTCTTTGCAGAAGTCAGCAAGCTCACCACTGCAGCAAACACGTCTGCCTGAATGCATCTACAGGGTGAAGGGCTTGTTCAGGGAAAAGGAGTTCTTCCAGAGATCAGTATGTTTTCTAAAAAAGGGCAACAGTACAGCATTAACACGAAGTTTCTGTAAGAAGAAAAAGACTAGACAAAACCCAGCGCCCCTCCCCCCAAAGAAGCCGTTAAACTGAGGTAAACATTAGCAACTGTTCTAAAAATGTAAAGCATTTTCCTTTATCTTGGAAAACAATAGAGTAGAAACATCAAATCTCAGAGGTGTGACAGTAAGATGAAATGTCGGTTCACAGAACTAAGAAATAAAGAAAACAAAATAGAGTATTAACAGGCATGAAAACAACCGTAAGGAAAATAAAGAATAAACACTGTGGGAAGCTCAGTAAGGGACATGAGAGATGGAGATTAAGAAGGCTAAAAAATGGAATAGAAATAAAGAGTTCTAACGGATTAGAGAGGCACAATTCAGGACTTGGGAAAGTACGTGGTACAGAGTAGCTGCTATTAGTAAGAGATAGTAAGAGTTATCTGTTAGTATTGTCATTGCTGTTCCTTGTTTTCACCACTGCTATCATTAGTGTAGGTATTGAATGAATGTGTCAATGAGAATGGCCTTGATTAAGTTTTCCTTAGAAAATAATTCAAATATTCTCAGTACAGCCGTCATTTGGCTTCAGATCATCATCTAAAAACTAAGAGACTGAATTGTTTTCATGAGGTCTCTGTTGAAACAGAGGAGAAGTAAGAGGCCAGGCCATTACTGGAAAGCTGGAACATCATTTGTGTTCTCTATTAAAAAACTAATTGTGTTAATTTTTCTCTATGAAGGAGAAAATTTCCTTCATTTATTTATATAAAGAAATTATTTCAATTTAGGGCAAGCTCTTTTGTTCCCACTACGCCACTTCATTTTTCCTAAAAAGAAATAATTGTCTATCTTAGAAAATCCTCTTTGAATCTCTTCCTATAGGAAAAGAAGATGTTCTTGTTTGAAGGACATATAGACTCAATAAATTAGAATAATTTACGAAAGTGAACAAGGAAATAATAAATCATTAA